GCCAACTGATAAGAACCTCAGTTACAGAACTCTTCAACTCAGGGATTCAATAAAATCTATTCCAACCTTTCTGCTTTTCCTCAAATTACCAACTCCTTAGTCCAAAGGGCCTTGTGAAGGTTCCTGCCCAAAATAACAATAGTAAAGAGGACTGACATTGACTAGAACTTCTCAAACAAACTTCAGTGGTTTGAATCCTGCTGTGCAGCCCTGTCCAATTCAGACTATGTTTCACAGACTCCACTACAGTGTTAGAGACAAATAAATTATGAGAAATCACAGTCTTTTTGTTCATAATGGACAGTTGTCTATACTTACTTCTCCCTTCCTTCATCCCCAATTCAAATTCCCAGGAATTAGCACCATCACAATTCCTAGTTGGGACTAGACACAGTAACCTAAGGCATGAGATTGATGGTCAAGTCAGTAGAAGAAGAAACAAGAGTGAAGAGAGATGATGTTGTATCTGAACTTGTGATACTGACCAAATGGTCTGATTGAAAACTCACGGTTTGTATGTTCATAAGCCATGAAAACAACAGACCTAGATATTTTCAAGCATTGTTCTTTCCCATCATATTCCCAACAGTAATAATGACTGCCAAGGGCTCATAATCAGTGGAGATAGTGGAATCTCCTGTGGGTCAAATATAGTTTACAAAGACCAGCCCTGCCTATCCTACCATCCAAGTGATTCCGCTCCATGTACACCAAGAATGAGAAAGCAGGTGAGAATCATTAGCTTCGATGTTTTTTTTATTTTATCTATTTTTTTAATCTACATTGACTGGTAACATTTACTTATCTAGAGAAATCTAATTTGTAAATACTTAGACCATTTTATTTCCTCCCTGCTAACACCCAGCCCCATCCACACCCTCACCCTCGCCCTCTACCATGCACTTTATGAAAGTAATTTGATCAATGAACAGCTCTTAGAAGGGATAGATTAAATTGTGAAACAAAAACCATTTCCCCTGCATGGATTTCAGTGATGTCATCATATGTTACACTGTTAAAATAACTTACATCATTAATATCCAATTCTAATGAATCACCTTCAAGCACATGTATATAGACTACAAAAATCTCACAAAATATATGCTTTTAATTCCTAAGAGTTTAAAAATCTAAGAAAATGTCATGTATATATTATCATGTATAACATAACCAGATCTTATCTGGCCAATGGAACACACAGGGTGACTCACACATATGCACACAGAGTTTTCTAATTCTACTGTGGGCTTTGATGTGATTATTATTACTTCATCTTGTTTTGTTTTACATGGCTGTAATAATAGAGAAGAGGTGGCTACAAACGAAAGTGAAGCAAAAAAGGAAGGAAAACAGAATTAAAATGTATTGAGCTTAATTTCTGGGTCATACACTATACTTCACTATTTTTATATGTTCTCATATAGTTCTCACTACATATAGTCCTTTGAAGTAGGAAATTAATTTTGTATTATTTCTCCACTTTACATATGATGAAACGGAGTCTTAGAGAGATTAAGGAACATATCCTTTGCAAGTCCATAGCTTTAAACCCAAGTTAAGTCCAACTCCAAAGTCCCTGATCTTACTATCCTTACCATGCTGAAGAGAGGATGCCTTCGACATGCTTTTACAGTTGTGCCTATTATATGCCAGATGCCTAATCATGGTGTCATGGAAAAGGAACTTGGAACACAAAGAACATTTTTAAAATTCATTCATTCCACACATATTTATTGGGTACTTACTCTGTGCCAGACAGAGGAGAAGCTCCTACTAGAAATGTTGACATGGAATAAAAGACAAATACTAGGCAATTGCTGAAGGTTACTGAATCTCACCAAACCTGCTGGTCAGTTTCCCAGAAGGGTTTCTGCACTAGAGCTGGTAACACCACATCCTGGGGGACTTATGATTCCCCAGGGTATAGCTACTTATTCTCAGAACTCTAGTTTTCTGGGCTTATTCAGACTTCTATGATTTTTTTCTATCACAATTTACATATTATCTGCAAATTACTAATTTTTAAAAATTCAAATAGTTTAAATTTTTACAGGCTTGACTTTGTTTCTGTTTAAGAGATATATAGCACCTACTTCACAGGAGACTGTCACAGAGGCGTTTTTTGTTTTTTCCTGGAAAGAAACTTAGAGAACATTCACCAGCCCAACCCACTCATTTTAGGCACAGAGAGATGACTTTATTTTCTGTACCCACAAGACTAGATAGTAGCAGAACTAAAACAACTCCAGTCTCCTAACTCCTGAGGCAGTACTATTTCTAATTCTGTGTTCCTGCTCATTTGGAATTGAGTCAATTCCTCAAATAGGAAAGTCTTTTCAATTTATAGCTCCAGTTACGGGTATGAGAGTCACAAAGTTCTCTGCCTATTCCCAGGCCCATTCTCTAATTAAACAAGTGATAAAAGATGTGACTGATGTAATGAACATCAAAAAAAGAAAAATAATGAAATAAACATTATGAGGTTATGAGTTGGCTTAAGATCAATTCCCTGGTCTTCATTATCCTTATTTGTACAAACTTGGATTTTGCCCAAATGAGCTCCAACTTTACATACTAATTCAGCAGAGTAGTAGCTTCACAGGTTTTAAGCATTAAAAAAAAAAAAAAAAAAGTAAGGCATCAAATTCAATCAAAAATGGTTAAGTTCCAATATGCACAAGACATTATCATAGGCAGTACAGGGAATAAAATATTTCCAAAACATAGTCCCTGATCTTAAATTTAAAAGTATTACAATCTTTTTGTAAAAATAGCAGAATTTCCTTTAGGAGAAGAATCATGTCATATCATTCATTCATTCACTGGCCAATATATTGAGCATCTATTACATGGAAACACTGTGTTAGGGAGACTAGTTAAATTGAATCTTGAAAGATAAGGAGTTGTGAGGTAAATACATTATGAAGTGGGGAGAACAAACTGGACATACATTGGTAGGGAACAGAATCTGTAGGACTTTCCCACTGGTAACAGAGGAATGAGAGCACAAGAATCAAAGGTGATACCAAGACCTCGAGCCAGAGGATGAGGAGAAAAGAAGTGACCTCAACAGAACTAAGAAAGTGAGAAGGAACTCGTCTCTGAAAATTGGTTCAATTGAAGAAATGTTTAGTTTGGGGAGCTGGTAGGACACCTAACTAGGACTGTGGAACAAACAAATAAAAATGTGGACCTGGATCATAAAAAAGAAGGCAGGGCAACAGACACAAGTGTGAGTAGAGATGATGAATGATAGATGATGCCCCAAAAAGAGAGGGAAAAAATTGAGAGAAAAGAGACAGAGACTGAATATTTAGAAAAACCAATATTTGGGGAGGTGAAAGAACAGTCTTTTGAAAGAAGCAGTGAGGAGAAGAAGGTCAGAGGTGCAACTTAGAAGAGAAAGGAGAGAATTTCAAGGAAGAGAAGATAATAATTGGTTGGAGCTATTGGAGATGTCAGGGATTTTATGGTGGCCATGAGAGTATGGCCATCCATGAACTCCAGGCTTGGCAGAGAGGCAAATAAAGGTAGTGCAGGTGTGATGGAGGGAAGAACTTGGACTTGCAGGAAAGTTAAAACTTATCACAAGCATTTTTATTTAGCATCTGAAGATCTATGAAGGAAACTCCTTCAGATTATTAGACTATCTACCTAAAACATCATTTATAAACAACATCAACATCAAATATTAGGCCTAAATTTCTTATTCATTCATCAATTAATGCACTTATACATCCACCTTCTCAAACAAGCACAAAGACAGGTAAGGGGAATACAAAACAAAAGTGATTTGTGGTCTCTATCTTCAAGAAGCATTCAGCCTGTCAGTCTGAGTCAGAAATACAAATAAAGAGCCCCAAAATATGCAGTTGCTATAGCACAAACACAGGGGACAAAGGAAGTTCAAAGGATGCACTGGAATTTCCTCCAGCTCCAGGCTTAGGGCTTCTTATCAGAGCTAACAAACACTGCAAAGTGTTGACTCACCCACAGTACAGTGAAAATCAGAGTAGGTTCTACTGAGAAAAGGTTATTAGTCCCACTGTTCATATGCCAAATAGCAACTGACAAACTCAGACAAATAGAAGATAAAGAACCTGAATAAAAGACGCTGAAAGAACTGAGCAACCAAACAAGTTTTGTCTTTTCATCAAAAACCTTCCCCTTAGGACTTCCCTGGTCATCCAGCAGTTAAGACTCCGAGCTACCAATGCAGGGGGCCCAGGTTTGATCCCTGGTCAGGGAACTAGTTCTCTCATGCCGCAGTTAAGACCCGGCGCAGCCAAATCAAAAAATAAATAAATATTTAAGAAAAACCTTCTCCTTGCTTTAATTGCAATAGGCGACTACACAGAAAATGTAAAGGTTTTTTGTTACTGTATGTAAGACTCACATGATCTTTCTTCACAGAGGTCTTACAAAGAAGGTGTTGTCAAATATATGGCCATAGCACAAGCTAAGGGTAGCTGCTGTGATTACTCTTTCTGCAAAGCAGAAGCAAAGCAAGCTTACTAATGCCATTCTGATTCACCAAGTGCAGCCAAGACTGTTTCAGCAAAATTGCTGAACTGTGTGGTTGAGGCTGGATGATTTCTGCACAAAAGGACTCTTCATCACACACAGATCTGAAGCAGAAGAAGAAATCTGTGAGGCTACAGCAGATGTGCCATGTGGAAGCATGCCCTGCACATGGGCAGCTGCCAGAGGGACGAGCAAAGGCACAGGTCAGCCCAGCACGGGCCACTTGTAGTGAAGGAAACTGGCAAAACAACTTACAGGCCTTGACTCAAACCTGCCAGACCTGGTGTTCACAAGGCTGTGAAACAGAGAGGAGCAATATTCAATTATGCATCATCATGTAGAACTCACACCTTTCCTGGCCCTCCTCAGGCTGCAAGTCATCCGCAATTATCACCATCATGGCCAATTAGCATTGACAAAAAGCCACGCGTTCCAGTACCGCACTGCCCAGCAGAACTTACAGGCACCTACCTCCTGCCACGCAGTAACTTCTGTTGTTTAGAGATGATGAGGGTGTCCATGTACCTTCTCTTCCTGGGGTGAAGGGTGGCTCTGGAAGAAGGAAGATAAAACCAGACATGAATTACACCAAGGAGGATCTTCCTCCTTAAGTGAGGGTCTGACTTCCCACACCATCTGCTGAAGAGGGTAACTAGCCAGGAAAATGTCCCCATGTTCCCATGCCCATCAAACACAAGTATGGATGAGTACACACACAGCTGAGCTTCACTGTCTGGAGCTTCAGGGAAAGAACTCTAAGTGAATGTCTATGTCCAACAGCCATTATGCCTTGGAATCCACAATTTTTATGGTTAAAAGGGCTTTTTAGGGTTTATCTGCTTGAAGTCCTTCATTACAGGGGTGAAGAATCTGAGATTCAGAGACATGACGTATTTAACATGACACAGAAATAAAATATCCAAAAGATGATGTTTATCTTGTTTTGTTTATTCTGAAAAACAAAACCTTGACACTGATATTATCAAACTAATGAAGCCAAGTGGAGGATGTATGGGAAATGACTGGCCCCATGCTCTTCTTTTATCAATGTTTTTTTTATTGTGGTAAAAGTCACATGCTATAAAACATCCTATTTGAACCACATTTAGCTGCACTGTTCAGGGGGACTAGGAACATTCACAGTGCTGTACAACTCTCACCATCATCCATCTCCCGAATTTTTCACCTTCCTAAACTGAAACTCTGTCTCCATTAAACACTAACTCCCCATTCCCCCTGCCCACCCCACCCCAACTCCCTGGCCCCTGGCATCTACCAAATTCTGACTCTATGAATTTGACTATTCTAGGTACCTCATATAAGAGGAATCAAACAGTATTAGTTTGCACCTAATGTATACTGGAATGCATTTTTAAGGTTAGCTTAATATATGTCCTGCAAACAGATTGTACCTTCTTTGCTATAAAATTCCTAACCATATTTAATACAGCATAAGAGTAGTGAGTTCTAAGGCAGTCTCCAGTGCCTTCTGTCCAGGAGGAGGTGATGCCTGGGGCCTGAACTGTGATGTCCATTGCTTGCTGTAGTGTCTTCAGTACAGACTTCAGGTGATGAGTCACCTCTGTATTTTAGCCTTCAGAAGGGCACTGATGAGCAAGTGGTTATGAAATGAGCTCATTGTGTCTGTTCTCGTATCCAGGGAATAGTATATATGCTCTGCTCTGCACTAAACTTTTGATTAAATAAGTCAAATAGGTCAGGATATCATGATACCTGTCACCTGCCACAGGACACATTCAGGTCAAAAACTGCTTTCAAAGAAGAATGCTCAGTTTCTAGCCAGTCCTTTTATTTTACAGAATACTCTATCTTTTATACCATATAAGAAATCAGTAAGAAATGTGTATTCTCAAAAATCTTACCTAAATTTGCATTTACTAACTGGTTTATACGAGAACACACTTCAGGCATTCCACCAACTTGAACACCAAATAATAGGCTATCAAGTTTAGTTCATGTATTTGAAGGATTGTTATTGGAGGAAATTCATTTAGTTGCATTTTTCACAACAGAAACAAAGGGAATTAATCACAACATTCAACTTCTATGTAAAAATTCAAACTATTCCAAACCGGCTTTGCTTTGTTCATTATAAGCCAACATCTTTGACTTGTTATTGCTTTTTCATTTCATTCTAATAGTTTCAAAAATGCATAAAATCATATTTTATATCTTAACATGTGAAAAATGTATATCTTAAGAATACCAAAGAAATTTGGAGGGAAATGTGTGAATACTAATCTATTGCTCTGTGCAGTATATGGACACATCTATATATCTATGTATCTATTTATATATCTATATGATACATCCACTTATGCAAATTAAATATATATAGCTATTGCTTTAAATCACACACAGGAAAATGTTTACATGCTTAGAATAGTTTTTCCAGAACAGTTAAAATATAACAGATTAATCCTATCACAAAGATTCATCACTGGAGATACTGCAGGGTTGTTTTTTTTTTCTCCTTTCCTTTTTTTGGATCTAAAGTATCTATTTCTAAATTTCATTGGTTCTGCCCCCCATTTTGGGGTCACAGTTCTCTTGTGAATTCAGAACTTCTTGGCTTCTGCCTAAACATCTGAAAAAGGGTACTAAGAACTAGGTATGACCCCAGAGTGACTGCAGAAAGATGAAGTTGGTCTCAGTAGTGGTACAGATACTGGATCAGAAAGTAGGGCATCTCCATCAGCGGTACATGCCCTGGCTTAGATGTGGTTATCCTCCAATTAATAAAATCTTGGTCATTTTCTGGTTTTTTTCTCTCTCTCTTTCTCTCTCTCCCTTTATCTCCCTCCTTCTCGCTCTCTTCTTCTTTGACTGTATCAAATCAGATAAGAAAATAAGAAACTTCCAATTCAATCAAGAATGCTTGAAAGGAAACATTTTCAGGCTATATATGACAGATCTTAACAGCCCCATTGCTCAGTGATCAGCCACTCTGATGTTAGGAAAGAAAAAGTGGGAAAAGAGAAAAGAATCAACAAATGTGAACTGAAACATGGAAATAAGCCTGAGTTTCCCTTTCACTATTTTCCTTCCCCTTTAATAACGCCATTATTTTTGCGTTAAAATATACATAACATAAAATTTGCCATTTTAACCACTGCTAAGTTCTGAGGCATTAAGTGCATTCACATTGTTGTGCAATTATCACCACCATCCATCTCCAGAACTTTTTTTATCTTGCAAAACTGAAACTGTAGCCATTAAACAATAACTCCACCTTTTAATTTTAATTTTCTCAGTGGCCAACATATGTCAGTCAGCCAACCTTTTTAGCATTTGCTATCTACTTATCTGGTAATGAAGGAAGTTGACGATGATGCTTCTGCCCCCAGGGGGTTGACACTGACGACAGAAGATAGACAAAGATGCTGCTTTACAAGGTCCTTGAGCACACCTGACAATTAGGCAGGTGTCACGAAGTAGGATAACTGATAGTTTAGTTTCAAAGTTCTCACTGGTAATACATGATGCATAACTGTTATCCAGGGAATATATATATTTTTTAAATGATAGATTCCTTCAAAGAGAAGAAATGGTGTTGCTATTCTAACGGCACTTCTCAGAATGTTATTTCTGAGTGTTCATCCATCTTTATTTTACAGATCTTCTGGGCTAATTTTAAGCCAACTGAGATAGGGACTGAGAGCCCGAAGCATCCTAACATGTTATGTTCCTTGAACTACTTACTGTTGGCTACCGTGAATAGAGACAGGATTGGAACTGAGAATCCTTGTGTCCTTGGGCCTGTGCATGGGCCCCAAGCCCTGATGCTCTCCATATCTGTCATATCAGGATATGACAAATAGCACTTCAAAACTTCCAAGCCCAGGCTAAGAAGAGGTTAAAATACAATTTGCCCTTATTAACAAACGTTGCATTGCTCTGAAAATTGTTTGCATCACTCACAAACACACAACCTCTTATTCACCTTTCTGTCTCGGGAGGTCAGCACTGCAAATATACAGTTCAATTTTTCTTTTTTTAAATGGGAACCAGGTGTTGCTGTTGTTCTTTTAATTGTTGTTCTCGTTCTATGGCACCAAAGAGAAAGAGACATGCTGATATATTCCAAATTGACTATTTGCGTTCCCTCTGCTAGTGATCATTAATTTTAGCTGGACAGTTATTCATGTAGCAATTTGCCACCATGATGACTGAGGAAAAATATTGAAGTGCTAGGCTTTTAAAATGGTAATATGTGGAAAGAGATATAATTCTCTTGCAAAACGTATTCCTCAAGTTTTATGTTTGGTCTCTGGTGATATGAACCATAAAATCATGCTAGCTAGTCCAAACTGTTTTTATTGAACTCTTGGTTGGGGATAAAAAGGATGGAATCTTTTAAAAGCTAATTTGGAATACAAATATTTGGGCTCTAGCTATAGCACATCTATAAAGATATCTAGAATTTAGAAAGATAACACCAACGAAAAAGCATATTTCTTCGGTTCAATCCTCTCATGGAAAATGACATACATGCCGCTTTACATAGCTGCTGCTGCTTCATGAAATTCTTCAAGAAATGAGCTCTTTGAAAGGATTTTGTTCAGTGCACTGTTTCTGCTGCTGCTTCGAGACTGTTATTGAATTTATATGGAAATGAAAGATGGAGACAGCAGTGCAAAACCAGTGTTTTACCAGCTTGCCTTTGCTCAGCCTCACAGAAAACCATGCGACTGACTTCATTAAGATAGATCCCTCACTGGCTTCTTTCTGGGCCTCCCTCTCCAGCCTAAATAACACTGAAACTATCCAGGTCTGAGTCCCTAGACAGCATTTTAATAGAACATGTATCTCAGAAACAGGAAGACCTGGACCCCATGGCATGAGGCAACACTGCAGAGGAGTTAAGGTGACCCAAGAGGACCAAGGGGACAACTCTGATTAGGATGGGCTTTCTCAGATTTTGCTATCTCTTGGCAACTAGTCTAGTTCTCAGGACTTTTAACTGCACTTAATTCAGGCTTTGAAGTAATCATTTGTCTACACTGGGCAAAATATATTGTAGAGAATCGTAATATCAAGAAATAGCTTGGAGAAAAGATCCAGTCCAGCATCTCTTATTTTATAGGTGAAGAAACTGAGACCTAAAATGTTTGGTTACAGATATGGACCTAAAATGTTTGGTTACAGATATGAACCAAAACTCACCCTGGCATGCTGATTCCCCATCTACAGAGTTTTTCCTATAAGTCATTTATAGAATTAGGCCATGTGTTTGGTGCTTCTCCACAGAAGGCAAACTCTTTTAAAATAATAGTAGAAACTAGAAACTTTTTATACATAAAGGTATGAACTACATCCTCAAAGGGTTCTTATTTTCTTTAATCCTTTTAAACCATCTTTTACCATCTGTACATTAGCTTCTCCCCAACAAGCAAATCTATAAAATGAAATTCCTCCATCTCATTCTGTCAAATGGAACCACACATTAATTGAAAGCTTAAAGAATTATTGTAATCACTTACTATTTTTCTTTAATGATTTTCAAATTTTGAGGTGGAGTCCAATACCTTTCTGAGAACAAAAAATAGAGCAGAAGTGATAGATATTTGGCAAGATTTGCAGGTAAAATAGATTTTGCAAATGTACATGTTTGAGGAGGCTCTCTTATAGGATATACTTAAAGACATCATCCTTAAAAGAAAGCTCGAAGAAATATCATGTTCATAAAAATTAACTGCTCTCTTAGCTAAGGTACAAGATCTGAATTCATGTTTTAAAATGCTTCTTTCATAGCTGATGCTATCAGAATTGGTTAAAATTTTACAATAAATTTTTGTAACGATACAATCATAAAATGTAAAGGGTCATCAAAAGGTCCAATTTTTATTTCTTTACATAACTTCTCTACTTCAAAGGTGGTTCCTCAGTTAAGAGATAGCATTATCTGTAAAAGCAAGCTACTGGCCTGTTATTATCTCTATGCCCCCTGAAAGGACACTATTACAAAAATTTTTTTCTGGGATTTATTATAGCATTTGATATTCCCAGCAATAGCCTAAATGTGTAAGACTTTTTCCTCTCTCCCATGAATAGTCACATTGTGTTACCAAGAAGCCAATTCTGTGTCTCACCCATCAACCTGTATAATGATAGTTATGCTATTTTAGTGTCTGTTATGTTCCGGTCAGTGCACTAAGCTGGTCATGCTCCAGCTCTAACCCTAGTCAACCTTCACAGGAATAAGTCATTATTCACTGTCATTTTACAGTTAGGGAAACTGAGGCATGTGGGGCTTAGCTGACTTGTCCAAGGTCTCCCTGCTACCCACGGGGAGAATTATCCAAACCTTACATTCTTTACTCTACCCGTCTCCCCAGCCTCCCTAAGAAGATACATAGCCCAGAGGAAATAAGAAATAATACATGGTGATGATAAGAATGATGTTACGACCAAGGGATCCTGTAGAGATGGAGTGTGTGGCCTCAGGAAAGCTTGATGATTTCTGACACATTCTGCCTATAGCAGTCCTTGGCCAGTGCCTGATTATTTTGGAGGACTTCTGTTTTCTGTAACATCTAAATCTATTGATCAAGAAGCATGTATCAAAAGCACACTATGTAAAAGGCCCTGTAGGAAAAGTTTCCAGATAAAATACAGTATAAGTATGTTCACATCAAATTATTTCGATGAGACATACTAAAAAATTCTTCATTGTTCATTTGAAATTCAAGTTTAGCTGGGAATCCTGTTTTTTGTTCCGTTTTGTTTTTGTTAAATCTGGAAGCCCTACCAGTAGGAGATATATACAGTTGCTTTGGTTCATTTTGCTTTTAATTGTCCCTCTCCCTCTTGGTGAGACGACCCATAAACACATGAAAAGGAAGCCAAGAATTCAATGAGATATTTGATAAATGTCACATGACTAGTGCACATATCCAGTTTATCTTGAAAAGGTTCAAAACTCCTCTCAGAAATGACTTTGAGAACATACAGCCCTCTCTGCCCAGATGTCTTTCTAAGCTAGATTAGCTACTGTAGTCGCTGTCCTTTTTCACACTGATTCATACTTTTATTTAGTCAGTTTAGAGTTGGGGACCCAGGAGGAAGAGGATGACATACTCAGAAGGGGAAATGAAGGAGAGTGTTTTAATAAGGGTGCAGGCAGAGCTAAGAGAAACTAGCAAGGAATGGTGAAGTCCATGAAGGCTAGCAACCTTGCGAAACGCTCCAGGGCAAGAGGTGGAGCCAGTACTAGATTCAATGAGAGCTTAGCTGTAGGAAAGAACTAAGTTTTCCAAAAGCTGGTGAGACATGCAGCCAAAAGCAAACTGTGGCCCAACAGGGCAGGAACCAGGGGAACAAATACCTCTGTCACTCTGCACTCCTCTGCTGGTGCCTGCAATTGACCAAACCCAAGGGGAAGCCAGGGTGCAAGAGAAGGCTGCAGTGATTCCATGGAAGTCAGCTTCAGCTTCCAAGTGCACAGAGTACAGGGAGAAGGATGAAGATCTGAAGGGCACAAAGAGAAAATACTCAGCATGTTCTGTGAAATCATTCATTTTTTGCACTTTGTAAGCATTTTATACATCTGCATAACATCTGTGGCACCTTGTAATATTTTGTTATTATTCATCATTTTTTTCCTCTCAGTGGTCCATGAGCATCTCTCTTTGAAACTGATGAAAAAGCTACATATGATTTTGACCATTTCAAGTCTGTCATTGCCACTGAGGCAAAGGTGGCAGAACACAGCCTGCCAAATCCTGGCTGCCGGTGTCAAGGGAGAAAAACAGAGAAAAAGATGGAACTGCTTTTCTTTGGGATGAGGGGATGGTTTCCTTGGTGGGAACCCCTCTGAAAGGACAGTAAGATAAGAGGAAACAAGGCAGGTTCACCTCCTTACAGCAGAGCCTACAGAAATCCTGTCCACCTCTTGCCCACTTCCCTGGGAGGCAGCAACTCATTTGAGAGGGTTTGTGGGGTCACAACTACAATACCACAAATCCCTTCTCTGATTTTTGTCAGTTTATGACTACGTCCAACACAGACTGATCACTCTGCATTTCACAAACTTATTCACAAAACATATTCCACAACACGTTTTTTTCCCACTGAGCCTCTCATAGTACCCCACAGAGCAGGAGAGACACCTAGGAAATAAATATGAGCGCTGTCCTGAAAATGTGAAACTATCCTAAAATCACTTGAGCTTTCTTAACTGCTACATATATGCAAAGATCTGTTACATGTTGGAGAAATTACAGATGTGCCTCTCAATGTCCCCTTGAAAAAGCATCATCTCCCTCGTACAGTAGGGCTCCGGGGACACAGGGATGCCATACTTGTTAATTAACATTTGTCCAAGTCCTCTGAACTAAATTGTATCAGATAGGCTTCTCATCACGGAAGCTGACCAAAGCTACTACCTGAACATAATCCGATTGCTGAATAGTAAGGTGAAACTTTCTAAAGGAATTACATTTAATTTTGACAAACGTGCTATTTCTGTCACAATATATGTACTGATACTTAACTGAATAATTAAAAGCAGGCATTAGGATACATGCTCAACCTCATAAAAGTCTTTAAAGGAGCCTGTTAATAGTATGTTTTGTATTTCTCTAGCAAGTAGGTTATCGAGTTTCCTAGCATACAACGTACTTATGGTAACAGTAAAATGTAGTTGCCAAGAGCTGAGACACTGGAGTCAGATGCACCTAATCTGTGACTTAGCCACAAGTTACTTCCCTCTTCATGCTTCACTTTTCTCCTTGTAGGGGGAGCCTCTGAGATGGTCCCCGATGATTCCTGCCCCATTGATATTCATGCCCTGGCAGAATCCCCATCCTCTTGAGTGTGGGCTGGAGTGAGTTACTCACTTTTACTGAACAGAATACATGAGAAGCAATGAGACGTCACCCGAGATTAGGTTACAATCTCCATCTTGTAGGTTCCGCATCGCATGCTTTCTCCATCAAGTCTTTCATTATGGGGGAAGCAAGCAACCTCATGGAGAAGTCAGTGTAGCAAGGACGTGAGGCCTGTTAACAACCAAGTGAGTGAACTTGGAAGTGGATCTTCTGTGTCATATCAACAGCTATGTGAATGGGCTTGAAAGTGGCATTTCCCCAACTGAGCCTCAAGATGACTGCATCCTGGCTAATACCTTGATCGCAGCCTTGTAGAGATCCTGAGACAGAATCACCCAGCTACCGCACTCCTGGATTCCTGATAATCTGGACATTCCTTTTTTTTTTTTAATAAATATTGTATCAAGTGCATTAGTACTGTTTCAACTCTGATTTTTAAGTTTGTTTAGATCAGCACTGACTGCTTTTTATTTATTTACTTATTTATTTATTTTTTTATTTTTATCTGTGCTGGGTCTTCATTGCTGTGCATGGGCTTTCTCTAGTTGTGGCGAGTGGGGGCTACTCTTCGTTGCGGTGCACAGGCTTCTCACTGCAGTGGCTTCTCTTGTTGCGGAGCACAGGCTCTAGGTGCGCAGGCTTCAGTAGTTCTGGCTTGCAGGCTGTAGGGCGCAGGCTCATTAGTTGTGGCGCATGGGCTTAGTCGCTCTGAGGTATGCGGGATCTTCCCGGACCAGGGCTTGAACATGTGACCCCTGCATTGGCAGGCAGATTCTTAACCGCTGTGCCACCAGGGAAGTCTCAATTTGGACATTCTTAAAAGTCCCAAACACATGGGCCAAAGTTTTCCCGCAGGTTTGGCCATTCATTAAGAAAAGAAAGGCAATACCATAAATATGATATTCTGCTATAATCCAGTATGTTGTAATAAAGAACTTAAATCCTGGAGTTAAACAGATCTGATGTGAATCCCACCTCTGCCACTAAGCGACTGTGCATCCCTGCGCAAGTGTCTTCACCTCGTCAAGTCTCATAAGTAAAATGGAGATAATAATAGTGCTTATTTCATTGAGTTGCTGTGGGGATTAAATGATACGAAGCACATAAAATGCTTCTGCCAAACGGGATGCATCCTCTGAATGTTAGTTTATTAGAAGTTTCATGGGGTAAAATAATAACCAACACATTGCAACTAAGAGTTTTCATTCCAATAAAGAGAGTTAGGCATATAAAAATCGAACTATAAATACAATGAGGTAGCAATGAAATAATAAAACTATATGCAAAATGCTTTGGAGAATAGAGGAGGGAGTAATAACGTCCGTCATAGGAAAACTTATTTGAGTGACTACATAATTATTTCAATGGTTATATGATTTGAGGAAGACATATTTCCCATTGCAGTTGCTTCATTTATAAAATGGGCGGTTTTGGAAAACTTATTTTAGAAGTAGTGCCAGCAGTGGGACTACTTTCATTAAGAAAAAATCCCAGGAAGATCCCTGGTAGAATTTTCAAAATGAATAGTCCAAAACTGTCCCTTCCTTAATTCTCCTTCAGTGCTTGCCCACCCCTAACAAACCAACAAACAAATGAAAAAGGTGGAAATTACCTTCCAGCTCCTCAAGCAAATGAACTGACAGCTCTCTGGAAGAAGGCACCATGTGCAGGAGTGAAATGAGACTCTGGTGCCCACATGGAATTTCAGTCTTGCCTGCCTTTGCTTCAGAGGGGGCTGGTCTGAGTACATGTTCTTATTTGGTTCTGTCATATAACCTGTATGAGGTTTTCTGATTTCTGCTATTGCTTTCCTGGGGTAAAAAGATGTTAAATAAATGATGCTAAATAATGTTATCTACAGTGTGCATGGGCTCTACCTGCTAGTGTAAAATGTGGCTGCAGTTTTGTCTTGGTGTTATGGAACTAAAAAAGAACAGCTGTTTGATATTCAAGGGAAGGAACACTCTTTTAAAAACACAAAGCATGGGGGCTTCCCTGGTGGCGCAGTGGTTGAGAGTCCACCTGCCGATGCAGGGGACATGGGTTCGTTCCCCGGTCCGGGAGGATCCCACATGCTGCGGAGCGGCTGGGCCCGTGAGCCATGGCCGGTGAGCCTGCGCGTCCAGAGCCTGTGCTCTGCAACAGGAGAGGCCACAACAGTGATAGGTCCATGTACCACACACAAAAAAAACAAAAACAAAACACAAAGCGAGTATTCCTATAATGAAAATATATATATTTATTCCTGCTTGGATAACAATATTCAAATCTACTGTAAATGCTTTTATCTTAATTAAATGTAATTTTTTCTTTTTACTCTGGACTATATATCAGTTGGAAAGTTTATCTTTGTTAATAATAAGTACAAATTAAAGAAGGTGTACAGCAATTTTTTTTTTAACTTAACAGAGGAGAAAAACATTATGTAATACCCAAGGTTCAAGTGCTGATGGGTGAAGCTGAATTTGGAATTCTCATTTTATGTGGGTGCTACCTTTTTGGAAAAGCAAAATAGCCAAGTATAGCAAGGGACATGAAGATTATCATTTCCTTTGGCCCTGTAAACGTTAGCTTCAGAATTTATGCTCAGAAAATATTTTAACATAGCCAAAATGTTTTAAGAAAGATCATAGTAGAATATTTATAATAGGGGAAAAAAGGGTGGAAACATGTAAAAGTTCACCATAGGAGAATAATATAACAAATTTGAAATTTGGAACTACTGTGTTATCACACAGTCATTAAACATATGTTAAAACTATGTAGTGGGAGGGAGGGAGACGCAAGAGGGAAGAGATATGGGAACATATGTATATGTATAACTGATTCACTTTGTTATAAAGCAAAAACTAACACACCATTGTAAAGCAATTATACCCCAATAAAGATGTTAAAAAAAAAACAAAACTATGTAGACACAGGGGAAATGTTTATTACATAAAAGAGCAGACAACAAAATAGTATGCATATTTTAGCCAATTACATAAAAAACACATACATGGAGTCAAGGGCTAATAAGTTATATGCAAAAATGAGAATAAATTTTATGGTTATGAGCTCATAGACATTTTCTTTTCAAAATATTTTTACAGTTGTACATCAATTTTTTTCAAAAATAAGAGTCATGTGAAAACCAAGAAAAAAATCTAAAATCACTCTTAAAATATTCTTGTGTGAACTTCATTCTAATCCATTTATCAATGTCTTATATAGCTCTTACATTTATTTTATGTTACTTCCCACATTTTAGATGTTTGAGAAAATGAACGGTTGTATTAACATCTCTGTTAGTCTGGGCTTTTTAAGAAGCAGACTTCAGAATGAGATTAAATGTGTAAGAATTTTATTACGGGAAGTGCTTGTGTGAAAGGAAATAGGGAAAGCGTCTGAAAAGGTCAGGAGAGCCACCAGACGGTGAGGGAAGGAGAGTGAGAGGCCCTTGAGTGGAAGTGACCTGGGTGGCCCTGCAGTTTCAGAAAGGTGGGGCAAAACCTGGGCACCTACTTCAGGCAAAGTCAGCTATCAAAGACGTCCAGTGTCCTCCAGGAACCCTTGTATCCTGATTTTGCAGGAGCAGCCCACTGGGCAGTGTGGCCTCAGGGCAAACATAGCTCTGGATTTCAAAACTCAGCATCTGGG